CGTTTCCCCGGCACCAAAAAAAAAAAAAAGAGGAGTCAGTTCTTTATAATATGGTTTGTAAGGTGCACGAACATTTAAAAAAAAACTTGAATGTCAAGATAATTATTATTTATATTATTATCATAATGAATGGAACTGTAGTTTAGAATACTATGATTATATCAAAGTACTCAGAAGTACAGAGAGCCGGGCTCATTTACAGCTCTGAGAAGAATGGATGTCTTACATGAATCATGTTTATATTCTGATGAAAAAATTATTTTAAAACTATCAATATAAATGATAAGACACTGACAGTGAGTTTTTCAATCATAATACCACGGTCCGATTTTGTCAGAATCAGAATAAATCTGGTACCGCAGCTGAATGTAAACAAACAGGCCAGTCTGGTTTCCTCTCAGGACTGCTTTACCGCGTATGTGTAGAGAACTATGGTAACACTGATTATCAAAAATCCTTACGCTAATAAACTATGTTCTTTGACTTATGAAGTTTTCAAAGTCATTACTACTAATGTTTATTTTATATAGATAAAACTTCGTTTTATTTTTGTTGCTTTATTTAGCGTTTGCATTATCTCAAAAGCGGTTGAGAGTAAGAACTATATTTTTGAACTTAACTTTAAAATGGCGACTATTGGGTCAACATCCTGCCTTGAACAGGATCACATTAGCCGGCAATTGCTCTTTGAGCAATAAGCCCGGCTAATAATGTAGAGAAGAGACCCCCCTCTAATGGTAAATTTTGCCAATAAAGATACTACATCACATAAAGAAGAATGCGATCGAGGGATTTCGATCCCGATTTAAAAAAATATCAGCACAGTAAACTTTTTAAATTAGTTCATGGTACATTAAAACTGATTGTTTTCTGTGATATATTCATTTATATCCTGCTTGAGGACAGAGGAATACTTGAAATTTTAATGTAACCCCCCCCCCCCCCCCCCCCCCCCTTCTGAGTTTAATGAGTTCATATTATGTATTATGCCTTACACAATTTTTGGGAGTTTTAATAAGTCATGTAAAATGATTTTTAATAAGACTGAAAATGAATCATCAGTTAAAGTTTTGATTAAAAGTTTTGTTTGTAGTTGGATAAGTGGGGGGGGGGGGGGGGGGGGAGTTATAAATCGGACTCCGTTCTGACTGAATAATATAACAGGCATTCTTTCAATTCGCTTAAAACATTTTTAACACCTGTTCCGAAATTATTATCATTTAAGTATTTAGATGACTACTCTACTCTTTTCTCAATTGAAAGGCTTTCTACATTTAAATTTTTAAGTATGTGTAAATACTTACACACGTATAAGAGTCATTTTTATATATGTTTATACAGTGGATCCTCATTTCTCCGGACGGTTTGGTTCCCAGTCAATTTGTCCGGATATGTGAAGCATCCGGATATCTGAATCACCAGTAAAACAAGACAGAATAACATTTTAAAATTTCGTCCCGGTGAAAAATCGTCCGAATACGGAAGCATCCGGATATCTGGCGTCCGGATATCTGAAGGTCCACTGTAAATTCAATACATGTTGACAATAATTTCGGTTAAGATAATCGCTCTGGATTTCGCAGTACAGTTAAGGCAACATTTCCTATAAAAAGTCACCGAAAGCGATACAATTAATGTTTAACTATTTTATTTTTCAGCAAGACACTCTAGTTAAAATAGCTTTATGTTATCTTAAAGGTATGTCCATTGCTATTCACCTCGGAATTTTTTTGATCATGTGACACTCTAAAGTCACGTGGGCTCCGATTTTAGGTCAACAAATGAAATGTTAAATTTAACCAAAAAGTTCAAGGGCAAGGCAAACAAACAAATAACTGCACAGTGATTTAATTGTCCCTTTGTATCTATACTTTCACAAAAGTGGTGCCCATTCAGTTGGTTTTCCGATACATTTAAGTTATTCACCTAAAACAGTCAGTAGTATATGAAAAATAGGGTATTTACCTAATATAATCCACAGGTGCTTGAGGACAGGACCCCCCCCCCCCCCAATATAGACCACCGGGGCTTTTAGACTTTTTTCACATAAATTAAATATGGATGACACATTTGTGTTATAACCTATCCTATCAATTCAGAAAATTTGCTTGAACTTACATTTTATAAAAAATATATACCCTCTCTATATATAAATTAACTGATTTTTATATAGAGAATGTAGGGTAGATTTAATAGAACGTTTATTTAAGGTAATTTTTCGATTTGCTGATATAGATCATATCACAAATATGGCGATGAAGGATTTTTTATGAGAAAAAAATAGAAAAAGCCCAGGGGTCTATATCGAAGGGGGTGGGGGGGGGGGGTCCTGTCCTCAAGCACCTGTGATATCATCGAAAATTATAAATTACCTAAAGGATTACAAAGAAATGAGCATCACTTTTTGAAAACTATAATAAAAGTTGAAATTAATGAATAATTTAGAATAAAAACCTACTTATTAAATTGTCGCCTTGCCCTTGAACTTTTTGATTAAAAATTGACATCTTGGTACAGTCTAAATATAGTTTTCAAACGCATCGTTGACCTAGCATGGGAGATAACTCTTTAGTACCTGAAAAAGTTTGTTAACCTCGTAGATTTTAATTAGGCCTATACTTGCAGACTGCGCTGGGATCTTTTTACTAAATCGAAAAGTATGCATAAAACACTGGATATTACTTTCTATTTTGTGACTTCGTTCTTTATACAATGTATGAATAATGTATGTTATACGACGTCTTTCAGTCCTTCCGCATTTCCTCGAATATGTGTAAACACACATGCAGCTACGTGTAACGTTTGCCGCAGCATGTAATTTTAAACGCCGATTGTTAATAAAAATGTGAATATTCAAATAAAATAGTCAATTGAAAGCCTCCATCAATAATTGATTCGATAAATTTAATATACCTTTCTGTCACTGCTGTACATACATGTACACTTATGTACAAATATTTTTTTTCGCATACAAGATTCTATCATAGCTTTCTTTCAAACCTTCAACTCCTATGGGATTTAAGTTGTACGTTTTAAGAAGAAAGACTTAGTGGAAATCATAAATATTCCTGTATTTGTTAAAGGGACTACCATATTTTTCCAAAAGGAGGGGGGGGGGGGTAGATTTCAAAAATGTTGAAAATAAATATGTCCCACACTGGATAAAAAATAAATAATCTGCCCCAGACCAGTGTTCCCCCTCCTACAAATTATTTTTTTTAGCTTGTCAGACATTTTTCAGTGAAGAGAAAAATAAATAATCTGTCCTTCATCTTATTGGAAATAAATATTAGTAGACCTGGCCTTCATTGACATGAAAAGAAATAAAAAAATAATGACCTGGAAAAACTTGCCCCCCCCCTCCCTTCAGAATAAAATGGTGTTCCCCTTTCCTGTTTTGAATCAATTAGTGGAGCCTTTAATCTCCTTTTCAGTTACTATTATTAAGAAAAACAAATTAACACAATGTACATGCTGGAAATAAAATCTTGATGGACATTTACACCCACCACACAAATATATGCAAGTCAAGATTATCAAATCTTAATAGCCTTTTCAACACCTGTACAGTAAGTACATGTATATGAAAAAGTCAAATCATTTTTTTATGAAGAAATTTTATTTCATAAACAGCTTTTCAAATTATGGTAGACTGTACAAGGAATACTGAGCAGCTGCAAATCATTTCCATCACTTCATGTTCTTGAGGATGAAAATCAATTCTGAAAATACATGTATGAGAAAATCAGGACATTCTTGTAGTAACATACCATTATTGAGAGTAAATTGGTGTTTAAAATTGCATTTAATTCAGAACAATGCATGGAAACATGCACAAACATTGGATGTATAATTAAATATTTGCAATTCTACTGTTATATTTCATTGTTTGCCAGGAATGTTGCATGGTAATTTGGTTTATAGCTAATATGGAGCATACCATTTTCCTTACATGATGGATTAACTTGCTGCCTGAATGAATCCATTGGTCCAATTCTTTAGGAATAGCTGCAGCACATTATATATATTATTTCTATGAGATTACTAAATAAAATACATTGTATAATAAAATCACATAACATTTGACAAAACAATTCATGATATACTGTATGCTGTACATAGTGAATTTATGAAATCCATATTAAAGATAAATGGAAACAAAGTTGTATTACAAAACTTTTCTGGGAAATTAAAACCTTTGACATTTACATGGGCAAATAATTAGAATATGAAAAAACATTCTTTCATCTTTACAAAATGAAAAATAAATATAACACATGCATGGTTTTAAAAAATGTGAAATGCTTTATAAGTGTACATATACCCTGTGGAGAAATGGGTGCATTTTGTATTTATTTATTCTTCAACCCTGGAACTCTTGACTGCTACAATAATAAAAGTATTATGTAGGCCTATCATAATTAAAAAAATAATTATGTATAAATTACAGAAATTAATTGACTTGACATGAAATCAAACTAAAAAAAATAAATATTTTATTCCCCATTAATTTAGAAATTCTATAAATTTAAAACCATAGATCTAAAGTGGAGGTTCTTTGTTTTCAACATAATGATACAGATATTTATTTTACATTATGTAGCATGTTTGTATGCCAAGAAGACAACATTAAATGTTCAGTAACTCATTGTCAACTCATTGACTGTAACAACGAAATTTCAAATTTAAATTAGTTTAAGTTTGTATTACTGTTGAACCCCCTTATTACACATGTTGTCTCAAAGAAAATAAGCTAATCGACTCTATATTTAGTACAATTACATTTTTAAATTTCTAGTAAAAAAAAGTGAACAACTTTATGTGGGCTGTTGGGAAGGGGGGGGGGGCGACACACACTGCACTGCATTAGTTTTTCACTGACTGTGATAATGCATCTAAATAAACACGTACACACTCGCAATCGTTTTTTTTCTTCGATTTAAAAAAAAGCATATATACATATTGTAGATACATGACTTGTGCATACATACCAGGGCTGAATGCACTGCAGTGATGGATCTAGGGAGCTAGTGCAGATCGTCTCATCTTCTGTTATTTTCTGTAATAATGTCCTCATATTCTCGTAATAGGGATAAACAATGCCTTGTCTCTTATCTTATCCCCATTTTCTTTAAAGAATGTCTGGTTATTGCATTTAAGTCAGCATCTCCATAGAAAAATGGGGAAAAAAATATTTGATGTGTATAAAGATTTTTTGTACAAAATCTTTTTGTAGCCACTTTGAGCAGGTGTTGGAGTGCTTTACGGTGGAGTCAGACAGTCCACCCAGCAGTCCCACTATACTGGCCAAGAGTCCCGCCGGCAATGAGGACTCCATCTCTCTACATGTCAGTGTTACTTCTTGTACCTTCTGATATAAACAAAAAAAAAAACAAGCAGAAATGAAAAAAAAGTTTAAAAGGGCTTTTAAAAATTTACTAGGTTGCCATCACCTGTTGCGTATGTTTCAGTACTATATCTTGCTCTATGAACCCCTTCATAGTATGCCTAATAAATTATGTAAATTATCAATTTTAGGTGCCAGAGAACTAATTTTGATAAATTTTCCTTTGCAGAGTTCCTCAGATCCAGATGAGCCAATTCATATCATCAACGTAGGAATTAAATTCAGCAAAAAGGAGAAGTACGATGACAATGCCCTCGCTGTCAAGTTCCAGGATTTTTGTAAAGAGAGGGTATGGACTGGAGTCGCAAAAATACAAATAATGAATTTTAAAGATTCAATTCTCTGTAATAAAACTATTATGGGTGTAGTTTGAGATCATTGAATGTCATGTTTTGTGATGTTTTTAGGAGCAGTATTTGTGTGAGAAGGCCATCAGAAGAATCACATTCCTTGTGTACTGTAGGGTAAGTCTAAAAATGAATGGTTTTCACGGTGATCAAACTTTCATGTGTCTAAATTTCAGTATTGTACAAGATTTGTTAATGAAAAGCTGTGCAATATGTGTAAATTAAATGTACTTTTTATTGGCTAACATTTTATTTCTTTTTCAGAGAAGTTCACCAAAATATTTCACATACCGTGCCAAATTTGATGTAAGTATAGCACCACATGATAATAGAAAGAGTTACTCACTTAAAAAAGACGGTTGCAAATAAAAAAATTAATAGAAGAAAAGTTTTTATATGCTTGTATATCTCTATTTTTTATCAAATCTCTACAAGAATTGTAAAAATTATTTATTGTTATTTTTTAGTTTGGAGAGGACAGAATTTACAGACATTTAGAGCCAGCCCTGGCCTTCCAGCTGGAGATCAACAGACTGAGGAACTTTGACCTGGAGGCCATTCAGACCAACAACTACAAGATGCATCTATACCTGGGAAAAGCTAAGGTAGAATTAAAAGTCATTTCTGATTAAAGGAAGAGAACTCTTACAGTACATATAATTCATATAAAAGCCTACCTCATATGTAAACAATTCAAATGTTGAAAATTACTTAATAAATATGTCTTATCTTCTTTAAATCATATAATTTTAAGGTTAATGCACAACATAACTTTGTGGAAAGTTAAAGTTGATTGAAAAATTTCATAATGTTGCAGACTCTGAACAAGGTTGGTTGTATCCAACAATCTTAAATGGGGTTTAATTCTGGGCTACCTGCATTATAAACTTTATTGTTAATTGTCTAACAGGTGGCAGCAGGACAGGAAGTGACGGATTACAGATTCTTTGTTAGGGTCATCATCAGGCACTCTGACCTTGTCACCAAGGTAACATTGCACACAATAATTATGCACAAAAAAGGTATTCTTCTCAAAAGGAAAATAAATTTGATTTGATGCAAGACTATTAATTTTACAAGAACTTTTCTGATTTACCATATTGTGTAGTACATGCATCTTGCACTTTTTTATTTTCGTCTTCTATTTCTAAATTCTACAATATTAATCAAAAATCCAATGTAGCAAAGTGTTTCTTGTCAAAGTTGTAAATAATTATTTTTTGTATGAGATCACTGAACTGTTGTTTTTTTTTTAAACAAACACAGGCCTCAAGTAACACTGTACTGACAAAAATTTGTTTTTATTTCATTAGGAGGCGTCTTTTGAGTACCTACAAAATGAAGCAGAGAGAACCCTCCTGGAGGCTTTGGATTCATTAGAAGTGGCATTCTCACATCCACTGGTGAGTTAGGGATGATAAAGTCCTGTAAATTCACTTATATTTCCATTGATTTTAATTTTGTTGGTTTGAGAAAAAGGTATTGGGATTAAATAAACAAATATGGTACTGGAGTTTGAAAGTTCGAATTTTTTGGAGGACATGATTTTTTTTATCTCATCGTACTTGAAAAGAGAAAGTTATCCTCCACCTTTTTTTCTTACTAAGATTGGCAATTTCACAGTACTAGTATTTCAGAATTGACCAGAATAATGTTTTCAGTTTGTATCGGAATCAACATTCATGATACTAATAAATAGATCTTGTGTTATAATTTTAGTCCAAGAAGACTGACTGTAATCATATATTCTTGAACTTTGCACCAACTCTGACCATTCCAGAACCAGGCAAGGTAAAAACAACATTACTATATACATATACTCATGTTTTAATAATAGAAATCATTGATTTTCTTACCATTCCTGGTTATTACCATTGTGAATTCACCATGTGTTGTTGTATCTCGACAGCTGGAGGAGACAGTCAGAGCCATGGTGATGAGATACGGCAGTCGTCTCATGAAGATGCGTGTTCTCAATGCCGAGCTCAAATTCACAATCAAGTAAGACTACTTCATGATGCTCAAACTTTCTAGGAGACAAATAATTTTGATTGTACACTCGTGTAAATGGATATTTAGCTCTAAGGATGAAAATTCTAGAAAAGCTTTTAACATACAACAAATATTTTGGAATGTTTTAGGTTTGCATCCAGTGATACAAGCATTCCTATTCGTTTATACCTGACCAATGAGAGTGGATATTACTTGGACATGAGCATGTATAGGGAGGTCACAGATCCCAACATGGGACAAGTAGGTGTAATTTCAGATTGCACTGCATTACCCCTTATAACCCTATAATAAATGTACCTGTATTTTGAGATGGTCCCTTAAAATACCTACTACAGAATTTGCCTAAACTTGGCAAGTATACTGAAGTCAATGTAAGTTACATATGGTATAAATTTAAAGAGTTTTCTTCTGTAGTTTTCCACAATGAAACCCCAGTCAGCTCCTTTGAGCTATCAAACTTGAGATTATCTTTTGTAGGTGATGTTTGAAGCCTATGGAACAAAACAAGGGGCCCTTCATGGTCTGCTCATTAGCACCCCCTACCCTACAAAGGACCATCTACAGCTGAAGAGATTCCAGGCCCAGTCAAGTGGAACAACTTATGTCTATGATTTTCCAGGAATGTTCACTCAGGTATCACAACATGGCTATAAAATAAGATAAAACACCTACTGAGAAAGCAACATTATGACAACAATTATCAAGGATATTGAAATCCTCAAGAAAAATTTTTTATGCAGAAAATGTTATATAATGGTTACTTTTGGAACAAGAAAATTAAGTCCCAATGTTATCAATTTTTATTTTTTTTCAATCAAAAATACCTGCTTCCATTTATCTAATTTTTTCAGCATATTTCATAATTAAAAGTTAAAAAAGAATAGATTTTGTCCATTTAAATGTTTTTTACCCTTGTAAGAGCTTTGATTAGTAACAGAAGTTTAGATGTTGTAGGATGACTGTTTTGAAGTCAAATGTCTCTCTCTTTCAGGCCTTACAGAAGTTTTGTTGTTCTGTATTTATAACAGGCCTTACAGAAGTTTTGTTGTTTTGACTTTGTTGTTCTGTATTTCAGGCCTTACAGAAGTTTTGTTGTTTTGACTTTGTTGTTCTGTAAAATCAGAAAGCCTTACAGAAGTTTTGTTGTTATGACTTTGTTGTTCTGTATTTCAGGCCTTACAGAAGTTTTGTTGTTTTGACTTTGTTGTTCTGTGTTTCAGGCCTTACAGATGTTTTGTTGTTTTGACTTTGTTGTTCTGTATTTCAGGCCTTACAGAAGTTTTGTTGTTTTGACATTGTTGTTCTGTATTTCAGGCCTTACAGAAGTTTTGTTGTTTTGACATTGTTGTTCTGTATTTCAGGCCGTACAGAAGTTTTGTTGTTTTGACTTTGTTGTTCTGTATTTCAGGCCTTACAGAAGTTTTGTTGTTTTGACTTTGTTGTTCTGTATTTCAGGCCTTACAGAAGTTTTGTTGTTTTGACTTTGTTGTTCTGTATTTCAGGCCTTACAGAAGTTTTGTTGTTTTGACTTTGTTGTATTTCAGGCCTTACAGAAGTTTTGTTGTTTTGACTTTGTTGTTCTGTTTTCAGGCTTTACAGAAGTTTTGGAAGGATCACAGGGAGGAGAACAAGATTCCAGCTGATGCCTTCAGTTGTATAGAGCTGGTCCTGGATAAAGACAACAACCTGTGTAAACAGAACAGACTGCCAGGGGAAAACGAGGTTAGACTGTAGTATTGATACCAATCTGTTTTCTGTTCACATCTGGAGATGAAATCATTGGATATCAGGGTTGATTTAAATGTTATCCTCTGTTGGACATGTTACCTTTCAGATTGGAATGGTAGCCTGGCAGATGTCCTTGAAGACTCCAGAATGTCCTGAAGGTCGTGACATCATTGTTATATCTAATGACATCACATACAAGATTGGTTCATTTGGACCTGTGGAGGACCTTTTGTTTAAGGTATCATCCTGTGTGAATCAGCTGATATATCTTTGTAAAAATTCTAAAGAGGGGCATGAAACAGAGTAGCTTGAAATTCTAGAGGTGGAATCAGGCGCTTAGAAGGAGCAAGCATCCCCCTTTTGAATCTATTTAATGTCTTTCAAATATTTATTATTGACTAAATAATTAGGTTTCTTTGTCAGATCAATAGTTTATCCATTGAAAATCATTTTTCAGAAAGCCTCAGAGAAAGCCAGGCGAGAAGGCCTTCCCCGAATCTTTATCTCGGCTAACAGTGGAGCCAGGATAGGGCTGGCTGAGGAGATCAAACACCTGTTTAAGGTGGCCTGGAATGACCCTAAAGATATAGAAAAGGTAAGGCTTAGCTTATAGACCAGTACATACAGTAAAACATGGCTACAGAGAACATGCTTAATATAATAAATTCATAATTGAAGTGAAGCTTTTTTCATTCCCAGAAGTTAAAAAAATATTATATGTAGTCAACGTAAAAAATATAAGAAATGAATCCTCAGATGTTCATAAGGACTCAAATTGCTTGTTGCCTGCACAAAGCTATATTAAGCATATTATATTGTATGCCAAAATCAACATTTAACAAGTACACAGAGTTGAGATGTACTTTGTTTGAAGCCCATAAAACAGTAATTCTTGCTTACATTTAGTGTTGTAAAATCGGACATATTTTACTATCGATTATCAAATTGAATCGGAAGAACACAATCGATTATATAATTGATAATTTGAACTATTAAAAAGGTCAGATTTATTAATTGGCACGAGTAGAATTCCATGACATTTGACCGCGAACTTCAACTTATCTTTATTGGCATACGACATTTTACACAATTTACAAATAACTGAGTCCATCTGTATACTATTTTTGCATGGAGGCCCATCGCCCTTTTTTAGAAAGCCAAAAAACTTAGAAAAGTGTTGCACCAGGATATTGATACCATAATTAGGCGTCAAACTCTTCACCATGCACGTTCGCCATTTTGTTTACCGCCGATTAGAGTGACGTCCCTTTGGTGAATATAAAAGTTGAACCTGATCATGCTTAAAAATGATTACGGCATGAAAAATATAGCTTGATCTATCGATGATAACATTTACAATCGATTGTACAAATTTCTTGGGCCTTTAAACGCATGCATATTTTACTGTAGTCGGCGACTATGAGTAACAACACTACTTACATTTGTATTCTATTGAGAGAAGTTTGTTTTGTTTTTAGGGATTTAAATACCTGTACCTCACCCCTGTAGATTTTAAGAAAGTTAGTGCCATGAATTCCATCCATGCTGAACTTATAGAAGATGAGGGAGAACCCAGATATAAAATTATTGATGTCATAGGTAAGGCCTTCATTTGACCATAACATCTTAAACTTGAGTCTTAGGTTGATGATTGTCAGAAAAATGTTCTTTTTTATCTGTTCTATAAAATCAATGTTTGTTATATTTTACAGGTAGAGAGGAAGGACTGGGGGTAGAGAATTTAAGAGGCTCAGGAATGATTGCCGGGGAGTCATCTATAGCTTACAATGATATAATTACAATCAATTTGGTTAGTGTTTAATTTTAAAATCTTATTGCTTTATTGCTAGTAAGGAATGAAACTGATTTAAAGGGTGAAAAAAGAAGTCGTCGTGAAAAAGGTTGGAAACTTTTCCATATTGGAAGGCCCTATAGATTAGCTCTGAGTTTAAGACTATATATGAATGTTGTACATTTAGGTAACCTGTTGAGCTATAGGTATAGGTACCTATCAGGTTTGTGTGTAGCTTACAGATTGTTCTATATTTAGTTACCTGTCAAGTTTTGCTAAATATATAGGTGCCTATCTGGTTTTATAGCTTACAGATTGTTCTATATTTAGGTAGGTAACCTGTTGGGCTATAGGTATAGGTGCCTATCTGGTTTTATAGCTTACAGATTGTTCTATATTTAGGTAACCTGTCGAGCTATAGGTATAGGTGCCTATTTGGTTTATAGCTTACAGATTGTTCTTTATTTAGGTAACCTGTTGAGCTATAGGTATAGGTGCCTATCTGGTTTGTTTAGAGCTTACAGATTGTTCTATATTTAGGTAACCTGTCAAGCTATAGGTATAGGTGCCTATGTGGTTTGTTTGTAGCTTAAAGATTGTTCTATATTTAGGTAACCTGTCGAGCTATAGATATATGTGGAATGCCTATCTGGTTTGTTGTAGCTTACAGATTGTTCTATATTTAGGTAACCTGTCAAGCTATAGGTATAGGTGCCTATCTGGTCTGTGTGTAGCTTACAGATTGTTCTATATTTTAGTAACCTGTCGAGTTATAGGTGCCTATCTGGTTTATAGCTTACAGATTGTTTTATATTTAGGTAACCTGTCAAGCTATAGGTATTGGTGCCTCTCTGATTTGTGTGTAGCTTACAGATTGTTCTATATTTAGGTAACCTCTTACGCTATAGGTATAGGTGCCTATCCGGTTTGTTTGTAGCTTACAGATTGTTCTATATTTAGGTAACCTGTCGAGCTATAGGTATAGGTGCCTATCTGGTTTGTGTGTAGCTTACAGATTGTTCTATATTTAGGTAACCTGTCGAGCTATAGGTATAGGTGCCTATCTGGTTTGTGTGTAGCTTACAGATTGTTCTATATTTAGGTAACCTGTCGAGCTATAGGTATTGGTGCCTATCTGGTTTGTGTGTAGCTTACAGATTGTTCTATATTTAGGTAACCTGTCGAGCTATAGGTATTGGTGCCTATCTGGTTTGTGTGTAGCTTACAGATTGTTCTATATTTAGGTTACCTGTCGAGCTATAGGTATAGGTGCCTATCTGGTTTGTGTGTAGCTTACAGATTGTTCTATATTTAGGTAACCTGTCGAGCTATAGGTATTGGTGCCTATCTGGTTGTGTAGCTTACAGATTGTTCTATATATTAGGTTACCTGTGAGCTATAGGTATTGGTGCCTATCTGGTTTGTTGTAGCTTACAGATTGTTCTATATATTAGGTTACCTGTCAAGCTATAGGTATAGGTGCCTATCTGGTTTGTTGTAGCTTACAGATTGTTCTATATTTAGGTTACCTGTACAATAATATGCCTATTGTTTGTTTAGCTTACAGAGATTCTATAAAGGTATGTAACCTGTCAGCTATAGGTATTGGTGCCTAACAAGGTATGTTGTGAGAGCTAGTCAGTATTCATTTATTTATTAGGGAGAAAAAATTTGCAGGTTTGTGATCATTGTTTTATATTAAGGACATGTCAGAGAAAGGTAATCTTTTGTTGTACCTACAAAAGATAATTTAGGTTAAAAATAGGTATTCCTTGGTAAGGAGATTGTGTACACCAGTAACAATCAGCTGGGAGGAATCCAGATCATGTACACAAACGGATTTTGAACACAATTTTATAGCTAAAAGATGACTATATCAAGGGCCTGTCTACAAAATCATGAAGTGGCTGTCATATATTTTTTAAGGTACAGCTAATAACTGTCACTAGAATAGGTGTACAGCATATAAAGAAAAACAATATCCTTAGTCAAAAGAATTAGTCAAATGATTTTGTTTTCATTTTTACAGACTGAGGCAGTCTTTATTTTATCTGTCAGTGAATTATGGATTTAAATTAGTGTAAGGGCTAGTCACAGAGTTTAATTTATCTGGATTAATGTTTCAGTGTAAAGGCTCCCCATTACCAGTACTAGATACAATGGATTTAAATTTAAACTTTGATATATTTATGAAAACACAGGTTCATTTTGACAAAGGAATTTTGTAACAATTTCCAGGTGGATGTACAATTATAGACACAAAATCCAGGTAAAATATAGTGTACAAATCCTATATAGAAATATAAACTGCAACTGTTCAAACAATATCCAGAGTAAATGTTTGTAATTCTCTGAATAAACGGTTAAAACATTTATTTAAGGGTTCCTGAATCATCAATAATGTTTATTACTACCCCCACAAACAATGTTGTTTAACATTATAATTTGTAGGTAAGGAGGTGTACAAGGGTCTGATCATGTACACAAACGTGTTAATTGTGATAAGAATTCCTGGCAGAAAGGTTTCTTTGATCACAAGTCTTTCCATGAAATCCTACAGCCTTGGGCACAAACAGTGGTCACAGGTCGTGCGAGGTTTGTCTCCCTTTATGCATTTACTGTTTCAGTTGCTCCCCATTACCAGTATATTATAGACAGACTTATAAATCTGAATGGCCGAAAAATCCAGATAAACATGTACATTTATAATGCATGTTCAGACTCTGAATCTGTGTTAAAACATTTCATTCCTGTGTTATTGTTAATTACTGTTGTGTTAATTGTAGATTGGGAGGGAATTCCTGGCAGAAGGGTTTCTGTGATCACAAGTCTTTCCAAATGACCATACCAGCTGACAGCCTTGGGCACAAACAGTGGTCACAGGTCGAGCAAGGTTTGTCTCCCTTTCTGCATTTACTGTTTCAGTTGCTGTATATTATACAATTATAAATCCAAGAAGTATTAAATAAACATATATCAAAGGAAGAGGAAATTATGAGCTGTGATATCTTTATGTGTGTATTACAGGTTGGGAGGGATCCCTGTGGGGGTGATTTGTGTAGAGACCAGAACAGTAGAAATGACCATACCAGCTGACCCCGCCAATCTGGACTCGGAGACCAAGGTTCAGATTAAAATTCTTTTTTTCCTTTGTACATCTAGTGTATTATTGGAGAATTATGTCAAAACTATGTTAAAATAAAACTGAGTTTTTTTGTTAAAAAAAATTTTTGCTCCAAATTGTTATTAAATTTGAATCTTTTTAAGATATGATATGATTTTAAACTGAGGATTCTTGTAAAAGGTACGAGACTTTAAAAATGAAATTTTGCTTCAATGAAATTGCTCTTGTAGGTGATACAACAAGCAGGTCAGGTATGGTTCCCAGACTCGGCCTATAAGACAGCTCAGGCCATTAAGGACTTCAACAGAGAGGACCTACCTCTCATGGTGTTTGCAAACTGGAGAGGATTCTCAGGCGGAATGAAAGGTACAGCATATTAATAAAGTCAGAAAATCATGGTAAGTTTAAATGCGCAGTTTTAGTATTTTGTTCATTAAATTATTTACGTGGAATGATTTTAATGCAAAATCTTGAAAGTTTAAAATTCATGTTAAAGAACTTTACATACCCTTTTATTCTCCAGCATTTTTAGAAACATGTTAACCTTATAAATGACAGATGTTTTACCTATATTTTGTTAGTAATTTATATCATTTACACTCACAGTATATTTGACATTTTATAACTTGATTGTTTTAATGGTAAATATTGAAACATTTGTTGAACAACTATTGAAATGTTACATATATTGAAACATTTATTGAACAACTTTTGAAAAGTTACGTTGAATACCTTGTTCAATTTTTCAGATATGCATGACCAGGTATTGAAGTTTGGCTCCTACATTGTGGATGCCCTGACAGAATATAATCAACCCATTATGATTTACATCCCCCCGTATGCTGAGCTGAGGGGTGGAGCATGGGTAGTGGTGGATCCAACTATTAACCCCACCCACATGGAAATGTATGCTGATGAACTCAGCAGGTATGAAATTTTGGTCAATGATTTGAAGAGAACTCAAAAATGAAATATGAAAGTCTTCTCATAGCAAGAGCAATTTAGCAATATTGTTTAATGATACCTTGAAAAGAAAAAATTCCTTAAAGTTTTCAAAATTACTTTAATTACGATCATGCACATTTTTACTGAAAAAATGAAAACAGAATTTTGTCCCCAACTGTACAGTCTTGTTCCTTTGAAATGAATTTTGATAATTTTGTCCCAGGGGAGGTGTCCTTGAGCCAGAGGGAACAGTAGAAATCAAATTCAGGAGGAAGGACCTGGAGAAGACGATACAGAGACTGGATCAGACGTGTCGTCAGATCGTGGAGAAACTGACCAGTCCACAGCTGAATCCGGACGAGAAGGAAGAGCTCCAGAAACAGCTGGCAGCTCGCCAGGAAAAGTTACTCCCCATGTACCACCAGGTGGCGATACAGTTCGCTGACCTCCATGACACTCCCGGGAGAATGGAGGAAATGGGGGTTATTACTGTGAGTGTAATTCAGTGAGATAAATGAAAAGAAATAATTGAAAGTTATGAATCTTATTTCAAAGTATATTTCTGACAATGATGTATCTTTATGACATTTTTTATTGACAACTATCAGATAAGATTACATAGCTTAAATTTCATTTCTTTAGTTATAAGTATTTTTCTTCAAAGTTACACTTCACATGTTTATAACTCCTGATCTGAAGCACAATGTGTTAAGGGGGGACCTATGTCGTTCTACGTCAAAGCAGCGTTATGTGACGTCACAATAGCAACGTTTGTTTTTTTTTCCCGCTGACTTTTGCAACTGTGATTATAGGCATATTATTATTAATCAATAACGTACACAATTTACAAAAAGAAAATGTTTTCATCATTTATAAAGTTTTATTTGATTTATGGAGTTTGCTGATATTTCTCTTCCTTTGGTTGATAATTCATAGCAATTTCAGTTGTAAAGAAATACCTCCATGATATGCTGATATAAAAATGCAAAAAACATAAGAAAAAACATATTCAGCAAAGACAGCGGCTTAAATCAGGGAAATATGTTTAATTTTATGATTGCCATTAATTGTATTTACTGGATAAAATTAAGAAAAAAATTAAGAAATGTACTTGTACCTATATTTACTTATTGATTTATAGTGTATGTAGATTTTATTGTATAAAGTCATTTCTAGGTTCTATAAGGTGTTGGTTGTTGACGGGGAAAGGGGGGGATGATTAGAATGAAGAAGAAAAGAGTTTATCTGTTTAAATTATTTCTTATCAAAACACAATAGTACTCGTTTTTTGCAAAATAGTTTTATATTCAGATGTTTGTCAGTGCTAACTTAACTTTTATTAGTGCAGAAAGGTCAATATTTATGACAGAAGAGTATGAAAATATAAAGAAAACGTCATATTTCTCGTTTATTTTATCATAAAGGTATACTTTTTTCTTTGTTAAAATAAAGAGATGGGTCATTTCTTCCAAAAAATATGAATTACAACATTTTCACACAAAGACTTTTTAAGATATTACCTGTTATGCATGTCGGAATTGTAAAAAATACGACAAGAAAAACGGGGTGATACTTGCATTGTGCTCCTTTATAATTTTTCACGCGAGATGAATTACAATGAATTTGCCTTCATTTTAAAGATACAAGTCATATAAATTAAATACAAGTTGATTTCGAATGTGAATTGACATTTTTGGTTCTTTTTAGCGCATATTTGGAGTAGAACAATAATGTCTGTAAATAATCTATTTTTAGCATTTCACACTGTTTTTGCACGTGCTCCTGTGTAAAAATAAGCATATAAAGGTATTGTTTTTAATACCTAAAAATTAAGAGCAAGTGGTCAGAAAAGAAATGTCAAAGTTTTGAAAATTTCACACAAAGACTTTTCGGACATAGGTCCCCCCTTAAGTTTCTTTTTGGTCACACAGGACATACTTAAATGGCAGAAGAGCCGTGAGTTTTTCTACTGGCACCTGAAACGACGGTTGTTAGAGAGGCAGCTTAAGAAGAAGATGAAGCAGTTCACACAGAACGTCGGGGAGGGGGAACTCAACTCTATGTTACATCGCTGGTTTGTGGAGGACAGGGGCACTGTCAATGTAAGTAGATAAGTTGTACCCTATTTAAAGTTAGTAAACAGTACACATTGAAATGAATTTCTTGAAAATTAATCATGCAATTTTTTACTTGTTATGCAATATTGAAAATCCAAACACTGCTTACATGTGTTCTAAAAAAAGGATAACAAGAAATTCTTGTTATTAACAAAAACTGCCTTGTGAAAGGTTTATAGCATATAAAACAAGAATCTATGTCTGTTTCTTAGCAAGGTGTAAAAAATTTGTTAAATCATATTGGCATGTTTACATTTTAATGGTAGTTCATGAAAAAAAATCATTGCTAAGAAAACAGTTTAGGGTAACTCTCTCTGGTCTATTAGGGCCCTTACTTTATGACTAAGATAATCTACTGATCTATCATCGACATTGTAGGCCTATCTGTGGGAGGATGACAAAGCTATGGTGGAGTGGTTGACAGAACAGATCAGAGAAGACAGTATAGACAACGCTGTATCAGACAACATCAGGTGTCTACAGAGGGAGCACGTCCTACAACAAGTCAGGAGGTAGGTATCAGACAAAATCAGATGTCTACAGAGGGAGCATGTCCTACAACAAGTCAGGAGGTAGGTATCAGATGTCTACAGAGGGAGCATGTCCTACAACAAGTCAGGAGGTAGGTATCAGACAATATCAGAGGTCTGCAGAGAGAGCATGTCCTACAACAACTCAGGAGGTAGGTATCAGACAACATCAGATGTCTATAGAGAGAGCATGTCATACAACAAGTCAGGAGGTAGGTATCAGATGTCTGCAGATGGAGCATGTCCTACAACAAGTCAGGAGGTAGGTATCAGACAACATCAGGTGTCTATAGAGAGAGCATGTCATACAACAAGTCAGGAGGTAGGTATCAGATGTCTGCAGATGGAGCATGTCCTACAACAAGTCAGGAGGTAGGTATCAGATGTCTACAGAGGGAGCATGTCCTACAACAAGTCAGGAGGTAGGTATCAGACAACATCAGATGTTTAAAGAGGGAGCACGTCCTACAACAAGTCAGGAGGTAGGTATCAGATGTCTACAGAGGGAGCACGTCCTACAACAAGTCAGGAGGTAGGTATCAGACAAAATCAGATGTTTCTGTTTCATAGGCCAGAAATTCTGATAGTTGAGATATATATAGAATTTACCTAAAAAAATCATGTTTTTGACAAAATATTTTCATATTGTCTCCCTTTAATTGAAAAACTTATGCTATTAACTTATTAAAAAAATAACACTTTTTGTTTTCTGTTGACAGCTTGATACAAAACAATCCAGAGGTTGCCATGGATTCCATCGTCCACATCACACAACACATGACCTCAAGTCAAAGGTCAGAGGTCTCCAGAATTCTGGCCAACATGGACACGTGGCCAGAATGGACAATTAGAATCCACTGTGACAGTATTTACAAACATATCTATTTAACATATCATATGAAATCATATATTAGGTGCAATTTGGATCAAAATTGCATAAAATTGCATTATATGAAATCCATATCTGTCATTTATAATGACTTAATTATTTCATAGAATTGTGTATATATTATATATTTGTTTAATATGTAATTCAATTCAGTATGATATGTGAACCATTACCAGGGTTTGTAAATGATTATTTTTGTACTAATTTATTATTACTCTACCTATGATGAATATCATATATAGTGATCCTATTTAAACTAAGTTGTGTATATTCTGAATATTAATTTATTGACTGTCGAACAAATTGTCCATTTGTGTGAATTGAATTTCAGTAAATGTAATTTGGTATATTGAACACAAATTTAATAATTGAATGTAAAAGTTATATTGCTTCACCTAGCAATGTGGTGAATTTTAATAAAAAGATGTCAATAATTATTGCATATTTTTTGTTTTCTTTACATGGTTAAGGAAGAAAATGTAGGAATTAAGGACAGATGATACAAACAAAAAAATGGATGCCTGGATTGGTAAATATTTCTTGACTAAATTTCACTGCAAATGATGCAAATAATAAATTTCTAGAATATAAAGAAAATGTAAACCTTCTGTGACATTCAAATGCTACCCTTCTGAAGCCATCTTTATTATTCTATACGAATATTTTTCACTTCAAATTCCATTTTTGTGCAATTTTGAATAAAAATTTTAAAAATATGCGGTGAAATTTATTTATTTTATACATTTAAACATGACACAAATGACTATTTTCAAAATTTTTGACAAAAAATTGTATCATCTGTCCTTAACTGTTTGGTTTTTTTCCTCTCACTTAAACAGATGGTTAGAGATATAGGATATAATGTTTCTGATATCTGTACTAATATAGACAGGACATGTAAAGACAATGTGTTTTCCATCTCATTTTAGCTACAAAAATACTAAAGAGGGAAGTTAAAACTTTTAAAATTACACAAACGCTGGTAGTATACAGTGATGGAAGAAAGGGACTGACCCCCTATGTGTTTCTGAATATATTTATCTTTCAATATAGAAATTTTCATTTTGATGCTCTGATTGGCTGCTTCACTTTTTTGTTGCCACCATCCCTTTGAAAAAAGGGGTTTTGAGTTTTAAAAGTTTAAATGTTTTGTTTCTTTATTTTTAGCTCAACTGGTTAAAGACCAGATGAGCTTATGCGGCAGCGATAGTAAGGTGTCCGTCTGTCCCTCACCCAATTAAATCCGTTGTTACAGTCATGTACAGTGAATGGTTGTTGCTACTGTGTATCTTATCAACTTAGTGTTCTTTGATACATGATTTCATCTCGTATTATACTGACACGCAAGAGAAATACAACAAGCAGTGAAATACAAATATCTGAATTTTTTGTTTAATGATTTTCGAAAATGAAGACAGTAAGATACAACTTTATTTCGAAACATCAAAGTTTTCATTAGAATGTTGAATGTTAACTTTTAAACCCAGAAGGTAACACATAACTGCCCTACCCCCTTCCCTTTTCCATTCCCAGCGTACAAATCCACCATACACAAGAAATGCAGCCAGATTTTTACCATGCATTAGAAATATCACTCTCTTGATAAGAACAAAAGAATGAAATCTTTGGAATATAAGTGCCTCAGATGCTGAAGTCGAATTTTCTCGAACCTGGCGCAGTGAAGTAACCCTTGGACTTCCGGACCACGGACTGTCTTTAATGTGAATGTTACCGGTACATATAAAAATGACTGAATAAAAAAAATCTTCTTATGCTCATCCCTCTGTTGACTGAATATTGTCGAACTTCTGTATATACCGTGACTAAGGACTGTCCACTTCAAGTCTGTATTCACAATTAAAAACCAAGGTCGTCTTGACTCGGGCATCTGGATCCCTGCCTTGAAGGCCCCTAGGGTTGGCAAGACAGCTATTGTGTGTGGCAGGGTGTTCCACAGGCGGATGGCCGAAAAGAAGATGAGTCTTGATCCGGGAGTGCTGCACACGATGAATCTAGATCTCATTAAATATCAGTACTAATTAAGACATTTTAACTATAGTTAACTCAAATTGTTGATTTATGTTGTTGTTCTGTATAATAATTTGGCTGTGTATATACATGTATTAAACATGTATTACCGGTAAACTAAATACTCTCTTTTCTGTTTTCCAGGCTGTTTGGGCTGGCTGGGGCCATGCTTCAGAGAATCCCAAGTTACCAGAACTACTCCATAAAAACAGAATCATATTTATTGGTAATCTTAATCAATTTTAAGACACACTCTTAGGTATCAATGTCTGTAGACACTTTATCTATTTTGCAGAAATAATTTTAAAATATATTTTGTTAAGAAATACTGTAAAAGCACAAATATTCGTGGGGGATTAAATTTCGTTTATTTCGTTGTTAACAATTATCAACGAAATTAAATCCCACACGAAATTTTATATGACTATATGTTGAATGGGGTTACTTTCAAAACAACGAAATTAAATCCACACGAAAGTATTCTAGATGACAAAACAACGAAATTTTATCCCCACGAAAATTTGTGCTTCTACAGTACTTCTTTTTATTAACCGATAAGGTCATATCTGTATGAGGCATTATCTTGGTGTAGCTTGTTTCACATAAGGTGTAGAGTTATCTGCTCTTGTTTTTTGGAAAAGGTCCACCAGAGGGACCTATGTGGGCCCTGGGAGACAAGATTGCCTCCTCTATTGTAGCCCAGACTGCTAAGGTCCCCACCATGCCATGGAGTGGATCAGGTATGTTATAAAATTTATTAGTGTTCACTAATGATTTTATTAAAAATAAATAATTAATGAAAAAAACAACATTTTTTGAAGACAGTATAAAAAATGTATGTCATTCACAAACCAAGAATAACTGAAGCAGCAGCGTGTTAATATTCATTTCTTCAATTACAAAAATCTCAATGATGAACTAGTTTCTTTTCCCCCAGGCCATAGAAGTTGAAAACTTACAGCACATTTTCATTCTAGGTTTGACCCTGAACTACTCTAAGAGTGACAATAAGCCAGTGAACGTGCCCCAGGACCTGTACAGGAAGGGGTGTGTCGTCGACATGGACGAGGGTCTGAAATCGGCCAATAAGATCGGGTTTCCTGTCATGATCAAAGCCTCGGAGGGAGGGAGAGGGAAGGGCATCAGGAAGGCAGAGAAAGCAGACCACTTCCCCAATCTCTTCAGACAGGTATGGAATAGAAAGAGTTATTTTGTATTTATTGTGTTAGGGCATAAAGAATGGCAAGAAGACTTAAGCATTGCCAAGTGAAGAATAAAGAGAGAAACCTTTTTATAGAAATTATAGTGAGATGCAAATTCATAAAGTTTATTCCAAAAATGGTGAAATTATGTTTTAAGTGAGAGGTATTTTTAGCAGTTTTATAATATAAAGATAGATAGTGATAACAACTAGAAAGGAACAAAAAGTTAGGCAATGGATATTTAATTTTAGCCACCTCAGATCCCTTGTTGATAATGCCAAATTGAAATCAGTGTTGAATCTGCTTATAAAGAAATACACTCATTTTGCTTTCCAACAGTTCTAAGCTTTTATCTACAAGTTCTCTAATTTTGATGGATCTAAAAGAAAAGAGGAATCCTGTGTTCTATATATAGGTGCAGGCTGAGGTTCCGGGATCCCCCATCTTCATCATGAAGCCGGCGACACACGCCCGTCACCTGGAGGTTCAGATCCTGGCGGATAACTACAGTAACGCCATCTCCCTGTTTGGGAGGGACTGCTCCATCCAGAGGAGACATCAGAAGATCATAGAGGAGGCCCCCGCCTCTATAGCCAAACCCGAGGTGTTCGAAAAGATGGAACAGGTAGTTAGAGCTTGGGGGTAATTGTGGTAATAAATCTGTTTATCAACTTACTCTTAATACATGGACTAGTGAAATAAACTATTCCAAGACTTTGGGAGCCAAGTAAAATAATGTATTCTCCTTCAAAGCAGAGAAAAGACTATTCTGTGTATTTTCAAAATACAGTTGAACTTGAATACCTTGAATGCCAATATTTCGAATATCAGTATCTCAAAGTGATTTGGAGGTCCCCAAACACTTATGCTTTTTATAAAAACATTTCACCTTTGTATCTCACATCCTTATGTACTCTTACATTTTATCTCAATCCAGTTGAGTTTGAGATAGCAAAGGTCAACAGTCAATGATCTCTAAGACATTGAGCAAGAGAAAAATCATTGGCTAAGAAATTAACATTATAGCTATTAAGCAGTGTATTATATTTTATATCCAGGCTGCAGTGACCCTGGCTAAGATGGTGAGGTACGTCAGTGTATGGTGGAGTACCTATATAATGAGTGTATTATATTTTCTCTGTAGGCTGCGGTGACCCTGGCTAAGATGGTGAGGTACGTCAGTGCCGGTACGGTGGAGTACGTACCTATATAACGAGGAGACGGAGACGTTCCACTTCCTGGAACTCAATCCAAGACTACAGGTGGAACATCCGTGTACGGAGATGGTGGCCGACATCAACCTACCGGCCGCACAGTTACAGGTACAGGAAAAAAAAAACGTAGGACAGATTGTTGTCACGATTGCTGATTTTTATCTCTACTGGTCAGAAACCAAAAGAGCTTATGCGATAGTAATGCATCCGGCATATCCGTCCGTCCATCTGTCAGTCTGTCTGTCTGTCTGTAAACAATTTTTCAAAATGCTACTCCTCCTACAGTTTTGGTCTGATTTCAATATAACTTGGCACACAAGTAGACTATACTAAGTTACATAATTCTGTTCATCAGTTTTTGATTTCAATTAACGGTGTTGCCGTGGTTACTAAAAAAATTCTGTGTATCAGTTTTTGATTTCAATTAACGGTGTTGCCGTGGTTAACAAAAAAATGAAATTTCCATAAAAAACATACAAAATTCTACTCCTACAGTTTTGGCCCGATTTCAGTATAACTTGGCACAAAAGTAGACTACACTAAGATACATAATTTTATATATCGGTTTTTTATTTCGATGAACGGTGTTGCCGTCATTACTAAAAATAGAAATTTTCATGAAATACATTCAAAATGCTACTCCTCCTACAGTTTTGGTCTAACTTCAATATAACTTTGCACACAAGTAGACTACACCAAGATACTTAATTCTATATATCAGTTTTTGATTTCGATGAATGGTGGTGCCGTGGTTACTAAAAATAGAATTTTCCGTGAAAAACATTCAAAATGCCACTCCTTCTACAGTTTTGGTCTGATACCTTGGCACACAAGTAAACTACACTAAGATGCATAATTCTATGTATCAGTTTTTTATTTCGATGAACAGTGTTGGTGTTGTTACTAAAAATAGAAATTTCCGTGAAAAACATTCAAAATGCTACTTCTCCTATAGTTATGGTCTGATTTTAGTATAACTTGGCACACAAGTAGACTGCATCAAGATACATTATTCTACACATCAGTTCTTGATTTTGATGAATGGTGTTGCCATGGTTACTAGATATAATAAATTTCTGTGAAATACTTAAAAAATGCAATTCCTTTCCTAGCCTACAAAGAAAAAAAAAATAAAGAAATAAATCATGGCTTCATTAAGTGAAAATACATCTATGAAATGTATGCCGGTAATAATAAGGATTCTAAGAACTCATAAGAATTAGATTTTTTTTCAGTTTAGCTAAGTTTAATAAGTACTGCATATACCATACATTCACAAGTATCTTGACAGTCTTATATCAAAGATCAGTATCAATGTGTCTGACTGTATTGTAAGAATCTCACTTTGAGTTAAAAATTGATTTCTTCTTAGTACTCATAATAATGTATTGTCTTTCTGTACAAGAATATGATCATGTTGTTATATACTCAGGGATTCTACTGCTATAGGCCTATCGCTATTGCAGCAATATGTGTCTTTCAGATCAGAGAACATGAAACTTTAAACAATACTGACATTTTGAGTGGTACACGCTTACATTGTATCATGGACTTCAATACCACCGGTCCCTGTGTTTATTTTTGGAGTATACATGAGGGATGTTCCCTACATACTTGTCAAAATTTCCTTTTATATTTCTAAAAGCCTAATCAAATTTCTATTGTAAGTTGATATATGTTAATCTCCATACAATATTCTATTTTTTGTTGCATTTCACAAATTTCTTGGATTTAAAAAGGACATTTTATATTTTTTCGTCAAAAGACGATGAAATATCCTCTTGATTTTGTATCAAACATGGAAAATGTTTTTATTTTGTTTCTGAAGTTTTGATTTAGAGTATGTCTTCGTATTTGGAGGGTATAAAAGCGTAATTGTTATAGGATATTCATCAGGGTCATCTTCTGAAGAAAAGCCCAGTTTTCAGTTTCCATAATTTATTAATGACCTGTTCAAACTGAAATGAATAAACTACGAAATAATATAACTCATCTGAACACAGACATGCATTTATATTTAAAAAAATATAATTATATACATGTTATTAGCTTGTTAAAGTAGTGTAGATTTACATTATGTCCAATGATCCGATTAAATCAGTGGGCCTTTGTGACGTCATAAAACCACAAAGGTTTATTCCCCGAATGGCTACTGGAATAAAACAACAAGTAATTATCACACTCAATTAAGGGGCCCTCTAAGGGGTACAGGTAGACTTACCTGTATGAATAATCTACCAGAATTGAAACAAAATAAAATGGAAATTCATCTCATTTTATTTTAATTTGAGCACTATATAAATATTTTGTATACATATTTTTTAAATAAATAATTTTACAAGCACAAATCATATTAAAAACTATAAATTATCTTGAAGTTCTATCGATTAGCAGCACTGATTTTCACATTATGTATGAGATAACACTGTTTCACTTTCATATAACATATATTTACAATTTATTTAGTCCATCTCCGTATATTTCTTTGCAACTCAAGGATTGCTATGAAAGGTGAAGAAGTTCATAAACTTCATCTGGATTTTTTGATTATTTAATAGAATGTTTTGATAATTCAAAATGATAGATAAATAAAATAAATTAAACAAAACTTTATAGAAACACTTTATTTATCATACATATATATCTACCGGTATATTATTTAAAAAAAAAACACTTGTGTTAATTTATCTAAAAGAGTTTGAAAATGTAGCACAAAAAGGGATAATAATTTTTAAGTTCTCAATCAATACTATTAATAATTTGGGGAAAAAATTAAATTAAAGGTACAATAAAAATGTCACTTTTCTTAAATCTTAATTTAATCTACTTATATTTATATATATTTTTATTCAGTATATTTCGGAAAATAGAAAACCCTCTGAATTAAGATATAATTGAATGAATATATCTGATTTACAAACTATTGCTTATCCAGGTAAACACAGGTAAGTCTACCTGTTACCCCTTAGAGGGCCCCTTAATTGAGTGTGATAATTACTTGTTGTTTTATTCCAGTAAGCCATTCGGGGAACACACCATTTGGAATAATTTCAGACTGGATGTTAAAATATATTTATTTCACAAATCTAGTTGACTTTTCAAATGAAGGTTGAGAATTTTCAGATTTAAAAAAATTACTTACAGTTTTTCCGCAATGAAGACAGCTGACCATGGCAAATGTTTGGGGAAGAATGAAGTTTTTGGAAATACATATTAAAAGCGCACGACTGGTCTCTTATCATTATTTTTAGGTCACCTGAGTAAACTCAGGTGACCTATTGCTATCCGTTTTCGTCCGGCGTCGTGCGTCGTGCGTCGTTCGTCGTGTGTTAACATTTGAACATTTTCAGCTTCTTCTCTGCATCCACTGAACCAATTTCAACCCAATTTGGCACAATGCATCTATGGGTGAAGGGGAACGAAATTTGTGAATTTCATGATACCTGCCCCTGGGGCCTGAGGGGTGGGGCCAAAACCACTAAAATTAATGCAATCTTTAAAAATCTTCTTCTTTACTCCTGGACAACAAGCAGGCAAACTGTTTGCATGATTGTAATCAGCAATGAGTCCTCTACCAAAATTGTGAAATTCATGGCCCTAGGGTCAGGGGTTCTAGTGCTAGGGCGGGGCTAATGAGTAGGTAGTGAAAATGCATAATTTCTTTGAAAATCTTCTTCTCTCCTCCTGGGTATTAAATAAACGAAATAAGTACATAGTTATGATGAGCATGGGTGCCTCATCCAAATTTGTGAATTTTATGGCCCCAGGGTCTGGGGTTCTGGTGTTAGGGCGGGGCTCTATTGATTATATAGTGAAAATACATGAATTCTTTGAAAATCTTCTTCTCTGCTTCTGGGTATTAAATAAACAAACTAAGTACATAGTTATGATAAGCAAGAGTGCCTCTACCAAAATTGTGAATTTTATGGCCCCAGGGTCAGGGGTTCTTGTTTTAGGGTGGGGCTCTAATGATTATATAGGGAAATGCATGAATTCTTTGAACATCTTATCCTTTGCCCCTGGTTAATATGCTAATGATCTAATTACATATTTAAGGCCAGGATTTATTTTATTTTTAGTTTTTCAAACCCTCCGCTCAAGGTTTTGAATTTTCAGGAAAAAAATAAAACATTTTTTTCTTTCCGATGTCAAATTTGAGTCGGGATCGAGATTTCAAATTTACGAACTCGCACTTCCGGTTTTAGGATGAAACGGCGGGTCTGACAAAATAGCTTGGTTTAGTGTAAATTCGTCGATAAGAGTGCCATTCAAAACGTTTCACCCGTTCAAAAGACAAATAAAATGCTCACGTTGTTGCACAATGACATGCTGGTGAGATAATTATGTATTCGTTTCAACTGAAAAGTAACTGTAAATTATTTTCCTCCCCAGGTTTTTAACTGCCCGTGGTAGCTATTGCATATTGCCAGGGACATTGTTTAGGTCTCTGTTACAGCTTAAAGTCTAAGCATCATTCCTCAGAAAAAGGTTGCTTATGCATCAGATGTAATGAATAAAACTATGGGAGAAGTGAATTCAAATTTGAGGAAAAAATAAACAATAACCTGAAGAAATAAAAAAAGTCAACTATTAAAAGGCAAGAATATACAAATATATACAGGCATGTAGTATCATTTGTATAAGCCAGAAAAATTATTTTACACTTAATTGAAAAAATGTTGACACTACTCCCAAATAATACTTCTGTTTTATGATAGGAATTATAATTTTAGGCATCAAATAAATTTTAGAACAATGTCTACACATTCACATACATGTAACACATATTAAGAAAATGAAGATTTATTGAAATATATTTTGATCAACATCACAAAATTTATTTAACTGGCCCAAACTGGCCAGTGGTCAAATAAGCAATTAAATGTTCCTATTTGTAAGCATTATGTGTCCAGTGGTAAGGAGCCTATTAGGATAGCATAAAAAAGAATGTACCAATGTTAATAATTGATTTATCAAAAAAAAAAAATTTATTTCCTTCTCCTTCAGGACTTTTTTTATTCTCATGTTCATAACTAAACATAAACATAAAAAAATGCTGGCCTTATAATGAAGAAAGGGGCCTGTTTCAAAATAGATAATTT